CTTTCCCTTCCTGCAATCAGTGAGCTCAGTCATCCCAGGGTAATTATCACTTAAGCTGCCTTTTCCCTCCCTATTCTTGACCAGCTTATCCCTTAGAGTTGGTATCAAGGAGAATAGCTTCCCCTTTGATTGTTTTCCCCACCATTTCAAAACTTGGTCATAAGTGCATTGCAAAACACGTTGGGCAGCTGGTATTCTTCTTTATTGGTTTCCAACAGATGACTGATTAATTAAAATCTCCCATCATCACCATCCTCCTCTCTGTCCTCCTGCCATGTCCTGGCTATGCCAGTTCAGTCACACTGTCACTCACAGATTAAGATTTCAAGTCCTCTTCTTTATTCCCCACATTTCCTATATTATAATACAAACAGCTTCTAAAGTAGTGACCAGGCAGACTCATTAACCTCCTTATTACCCCATCTAATTAAGATGATATCATGGCAAAGCATACCCTTGCAAGTACTATGCAGAGTCCCAGAGGAAGTCTTGCTCTACACTGTATCATGCACCCAGCAAACACTAAAATGTTGACTTTATAAAACTTGACATATTCAAAGACATAAAGAAATTTGTTAGAAGTCCCTCTGGAACTGACTGAAAGATTCCTACGAAGTCTACTAGGAACTGGATTTGGTCCCAAATAATCACAAATGCCCACAAAAGGAGGTCTGCAATCTGTTGAAAAACTGTAATATTTGACCTCTATATAAACAAAACGTTCATACTGACTGTTTTATGGTACTATAGTTATTTCGATCTTGTCTGAAATAAACTTTAAGGGATTTCATTTAAATAGCAACAATAATAACATGCCAAGTCAGCACCATAACCCACCATAATCACAGGATCTCAGGAGTTGGAAGGGAGAATAATGTAAATCACTACTTTGTTTCAGCTGGTATCAGCCTCTGTGCCCTAGTGCATGTCTGTGTACATGGGAGCCAACAAACTGTATTACGGTATGGTGTGCTGCTCTAAAACCTCGACGCGAAAAAAATTCTACAAACCAGGAATTAGATTTAATAGCTTTGATGTTGTCATCCCAGAAATGTCAGGTGTCAGAGAGCCTGGCTGAACATTTAACAGTCTTCCACATCACACAAAAGAAAATTAATTTAGCCTCATTCATGTCCATCCTGAATCAACTTCTCAGTCCTTTTCACATAGCCTGAAGCAGGATCAGTCCAGAAAGAAAGTGTGTTTCTGAGGTCTTTGGTGTCATCTGATGTCTCTGTCTAACTTCATTCTTCTCTGCTAGAAGTTCAGGTCACTCAGTCTCAGTATCAGCAGGTGTCTTCAATAAATATTTTTTATTACTGATTACAGACAATATAGTTAAGAACTGCAGTTTCTCCTGACTACTGTCTATCTGCTCAAATTTTAAAGTGATTTATTTTTATCACCTGTGATGTGAAACTTACTCTCCTGGTTACAATTCTGTACTTATTTTGCCTTGGCTTATCTTTTTGCCCAAATCACAGATGTATGCATCTTCCACTTGGGTCACAAGTATGGTATCAATGATGTGGCTCTGTTTTAAATACAGAATTTCCTTTCCTTCCTTGCTTATTTCAGTAGGCTGTCCTGCAGACCTTATAGTCCAGTAACATATTAATTTCTGTGTGTGTAGCACTAGATGTCTTGTGGAAAAACTTGATACATTTTACTTCTGTTCTTGAAATATGATTTCTAACTTGACTATGGTCCACTGAATTTCATGACATGAACACCGGTGGTTTGGCACATGAGAATCCCAATGACATGAAACATCTAAAACTAAGTAAGATATCTATTATAAAGACACCCTTATCTGCAGAAACCATCTGGACTCCAACTACAGTCAATTCAGAGAAACTAGCGCATTTACAAAGTGATTTGTCTGACCTGTATTACATGGCCAGATTAAGATGAGATTAATTTAAGATGTGGCTAACTGGCTGAGATAAACCCTATCCCTCTTGAGATGAGTCCTGTTAGTTATAACAAGCTGCGAGAATGGTTTCATCACTTCTCCATTTGGTCCCTATTTCTTGGAAAGCAATGAAAGCCATCATCCTACGATGACTATGGCAGGCTGCTCATTCAACAGCACACCTTTACTCTTTTCTTATGTTCCAGGGAGACAGTCTGTGGTCCTCATCTCCTGTCTAAGGCTGGACTGGCACCAGACATTAATTGTTCCAAACCATTCCACTGCTGGTGGCTGCAATACTCACAGTGTTCAGTATTTTCTTTTTCTACCTCTCCAGCCCATTCTACGCTCCCTATGGTACACAGTACATGGTGCCTTTATCATGCTCAAAGGCCCTGCTACATCTTGCTAGGTGTGACCACTGAATGCAATACTCACATCACTGCTCAAAAAGCAGCCCTCATAGTGTTCTTAGAGACCTGTTTCATCCCATGCATAAGTATGGCATTAAAAAAATAGTTATGCAAACACTGTATATATTTCTCCATTGGTTGCTAAGGTCAACTAAGTGAAACTATTTTTATTCAGTTTTTCCAATTAAGAGTAATGTTTCGCATGTCATTCCCCAAGACAGACACAAATGTAAACAAGACCAAATACATCAACACAA